ATCCTTAGTGTGTGCTCTTGTGTGTCCTCTGAGTGGTGATAATATTTTGGCTAAGTGTTGAGCCAATCTGTAAGTTGGCGAATCAATCTGACTCACTATTGGACCTAGTGGAGCGTTCGGTTTGTGTATTTTTGGTAACCCATACAACTTCGGTGGTTTGGCACATGAAGGTATTATCGAATTAACGTCTAGATTCAATTTCTCGGAGTATTTCTTAATTAGATCGCTAGTAGTTTTAAGCGTATTAGTTGTAGGGTCTGTTTTGACCTTTAGGTATGTAGTTTCACCGGAAAAAAGTTGTTGTATTTTAAAATTGTAATCTGACGTATCCATTATGACCGTAGCATTACCTTTATCTGTGCGGAGAATCGTAAGCTCTGGTCTGTTGCGTAAGTTTTTCAACGCGTTGAATTCATTTTTGGGAAGATTTAATTTCGGCGCTGAACTTCGACGTAACATAGACGAAATGTCTTGACGTATGGCCTCTAAATCTTCATTACCAATATTATTTTTATACAGACAATCCTCAACACTACAGATAATGTCCTCATACGGTATTTTTCGCGGTGTTATTGCGAAATTCATACCTTTTTCTAAAACTTCTATTGTGGCGTCGTCCAGAGTTTGTTTTGATAAGTTATAGATAGAGCGTTGTTTACGATTCGTGTCTGTGGTCAATGATTTCGTATGTTGGACATTTGATTTAGTTGTTAATTTATGTTATTTATCAATATGTTTACTTCTTCTAGTTAATTTAAAGTTAAGTTAAAAGTTACAGGCTGACTCCATAATAGTATATTTACAATGGATACCTTCGCACATTGGCTTAGAGAAATTCTCCGTAATTGCCCCGGAGTAAAGAAGTTGGCGGTGTCTCTTCCCGTGCCTCGGAAAGCACGTAAAGCCGTTGGTCCTGCGCCTGATCTCTCACCGGTCGTGTCGGTTTACCGTCCCATCGGATTATGAGAGTGAGGGAATAGAGAGTGCACCTGTGCTTGCGCATACACTTGGGCACTATAATCCTCTCCTGCGCCGATGGCTAGCCTCCGTTGAGGCAGGCCGCCGTGGCCGAAATTCGGTCTGGAGGACATTATTATTATTATTATATAGTTGTTAGTATTTATCCTATTTAAGAATTTTGTTGTACCAGGGCGTCATAATTGCTTCAGCGACAAAGCCCTTTTTTCTAAGAATAAAAAAAATGCAGAGTAGTTTTTTTACAATACATTAACAATACCACCCTTTACAGAGAATTTCATTGACTACATAATAACTAGAAACTTAGAGTAAACATAACTTACGTTACAGAAAAAATATGAAAAATATAGTGAAAACAATAAACCTACTATAATTGCATTCAATTCCTTAATGAGTGGATGATAACTACTACAAAATTACAACGATTACGTATCTAATAATGTGGTTTTTCCCATAAAATAATAGACGATGGTGGCGTGTTACAGGCTTATCTCGTCCTTATATATTAAAAAAATATAAGTATTGAAAGTGCGGTGTATTTTGTTAAACACTCTTGAACAGCCTTTTAGGCCTCCCCTATAGATTACCTCATAATAATAGGTCGGGAAAAAGTTTTTTCGTTTTTTTTTTTTTAATAAAATAAGGGTGACAAACGAGCACACAGTTCACCCAATAGCAAGCGGATGCTGTGGCCCAGAGACATCCTCATTTATCCTCAATTAAGAATCAAAACACCCCTGAGGACTAAGATGGACGAATCTCTCACCTCACCATACGAAACAGCAGAATTAAGCTGGTATTAAGTGAGAGCGTGGTCCTTCCCCAGTCGAGCCGACCCATACGTGTTACGTCCATAATATGGCTGCAGCATGGCTCTACCACGTATTTTGTTTGTATAAAATTGAAGAAAAATCACTTTGGTTGTACTGTTTGTATCTGGCTGGTTTTAATGTCAATACATATAGGACATTAAGAAAAGAAAAACAAAAAGGATAAACACTTTCCCGCCCATTGAAATATATGTACTAAGTATCGATGTTCTCCATTTTTCAATTGTTTTTCTGTCCGCCAAAATAAGTGAATCTAACGAAGAAATTAGTTAGTTTAGATAGTTTTATTACAAAAAAGGCAAAATGCGACTCAAGCAACGAAAAAAATTTGTGACGTTTATGGATCCGATGCAGTATCAGTAAGAGTAGCACAAAGTTTTTACGTGGTAGAGCCATGCTGCAGTTATATTAGTAGTATAGTTGTAGCACGAATGGGTCGGCTCGACCGGGGAAGGACCACGCTCTCACAGAATACCAGCGTGAAATAGTAGCTTAATGCTGCTGTATTTCGTATGGTGAGTGTAAAGAACCGGAGACCCTTTTTACTGGAAACGAGGCATTCTATCTTAGTCCTCACGGGTGACAACGCATCAGCATTTTGATTCGTAGTCGAGGATAGATGTAGATGTCTATGGGCCACAGCAACCACTTACCATCAGGTGGGCTGTGTGCTCGTTTGTCACCCTATCCTATAAAAAAAAAAGTTAGTTATTTAGTCCTGACCTGGCCACCCTCAGATTTTCACTTGTTTCGATTACTTGAGAATTCTTTGGGTAGTGTTCGGTTAACATCAAGAGAGGACTGTCAAAACTACTTGTCGCATTTTTTGATCAGAAAATCCCAAGATTTCTGCAGCAATGGGATTATGTCACTACCTACAAAATGGCACCAAGTTATCGAGGAAAATGGCACATAATATATACTTATTATAAATAAATGTAATTAAACTTATACTGTACTAATATGTCTTGAATTGGTATATAAAATACGAAGAAACTTTTTCCCGACGTTAGTATATTGTAATTGCCTCATAATAATGCGGGCTGTCTACGCGATTTTTATTTTTTTAGATGTTATTAAAACGTTGCCGCCCATATTCTGGTTGTTTCCTTTGTCGCTTCTTACGTACGTCTATACTCTTACTTACGGAACGATATGGGGGTATTGGATATTTTTACACCACCACTACGCAGTCCGTAGTAGCTAAGGGGCTAAGCGCTCGCTGTAAATTTGGCAATTCCCGGGTTCAATACTGCCGGTACCAACGAAATTGTTAACTGCAATTTTAAGTGCTGATTTACCACATGCTAGGCGGTAAAAAAAACATCGTGATGAAACTTGCATGTCTCAGAAATAAAAAAAAATATTTCAAAGGCATGTGAAGTTCGCCAATACTCATTGGGGCAGCGCGGCGGACATTTGTCCTTGCCCTAAAACCCTCTACGAATGAGAAGAGACCTGTGCCCAGCTGTGGGACTATAACTAAACATAGGCTATAACTTTAAATTTAACTACTCTGTCACCAGTATATGGTATAAGACAGCATAATAATAAAGACGTTATTCAGAACAAATCAGATCTAAGAATAGAATCAAAATCAGGTATAGTATTAATTTGAAAATTAAGTGCTGTCAAAAACACAATTCACTTTTTTACACAGGAATATTGAGTTACTTCTGAAACGGCTTCGGCGCTGTGGGAAGTGCAGCCCTTTCGCCCTTGCGTAGCAAATCGCAGGTACCTGTGCGAGCCGTAGCGGCTGAGGCTGGACCAATAAGCCGAAGCTGCGGAGGTGAGCTTTTGCTACAGCGGGCGGGTGTTCCTTTCCCTACGCGCCTACGGCTTTACAAACACACTCTAGGGGTAGGGCAGACAAGACTACGTGGAATCGGGGCGTTCAGATTCGGGTTTAGTACAGATTCGACCAATCTTATCTTTAATATGTAAGTGATAAAGAACAAATAATGCTGTTCATACCTTATAGTTAATGGTGGTCCTGGACCCGATAATTTTCCAGAATATTACCGTCATCTACACTTGACCTTAATAATCTTTCAGCATCTAATTAGCACTTAATTCCTTGCTAATTAATATTCATCGTATATTATCGTCACTGTGTTGCTAGCGATACGTTTTGCCAGCTACGCAGATTTTAACAGTTCATTGCTGTGAAAATTTTAGAGCACCTAATTTTTAAACTAATTAGCACCAAAAATTCCTTAATTTTGGCTTTTTCTGAATAAAATTCCTGATTTTGTGTTGCTGGCGAGACAGAGCTATTTTTTCTGCACAATGTTTTTTTTAAATTTAAAATTCAAAATGGTAGGGCTAACGTCATTGACACAATAAAATCAGAGATTAAATTTGTAATTTAATTATTTTATTAAATTTTATGTCAGTTTCTTCACCACGCCTACATGTATTGGTTTGTGTACGTGATCGGTGTCGTTGTATGAGTGAATACAATAGCATATTATGTTATGTCCCTCCACTTAGAGCGCAAAGTATTGACTTTGCCATTTTACCTTGTACTATTGTATTCTGAGGTGCGCGAACGCGTGTTTTGTGCGCGTGTTGTACAACACGTGCGAATTAACTTGAAACTCCGCTGGAATGCGACCCCCTTCCCGACTCCCCGCACCGCGTCCCGCGCTGGCCGTGCGCGCTCAGTACCGATAGCATTTTTGTTACGGATACGCGTCTCGACTCTAGTTCGATATTTTTGATAATTGTTTGTTGTTTGGTTTGGACTTTTGTTTGTTTTTGTTATACTTGAACGTTATTTTATCTGTTTGTTGTTAATTGCGTTGTTTTATTGTTAAGTTTGGACGAATCTGTAACAATTTTTATAGTGCAATAAAGTGTATAATAAATAAATTAATAATATTATACCTAAATGAGAAAGTGTGTATGTTTATTTCTTTGTCCTTTCTTGACGCGTTAACTAAAAATAATATTATATATATTATAAAAAATAAATATTTAAAATATATAAAAACGGCAACAGTATATCACTTATTACTTCACCCCTTGCCAGAACATTTTATTTTGTTTTTATTAATAATCTCATGCAAATCTCAAAAATTTCATATAAAAAAATATTACGACGCATTATTTTGCACACCGTACATTAACAATTACGTCATCGGCCCAGGTCTCAAGTTAATTCGTACGAGTTTATATGTAGTGCGTTCAGGCGTGTGCGAGGAGCGAGCGGGGTGGGCGCGGGGAGGGCGGGGCGCGGCGAGCTCTCCTGCCCGGCGGCGGCGTGCGCGCCTTCGCGTCCGCGTACCGCTGCACTGCCTGTAAACATCACAAACGTGAAAGTTACTACCCTACAATGGAATTTTCTCCTGTATACAATAACATGTAACAAAAACCCCGTGGTTCTCGTTAAGTGCGTTATCAGAATCAGTATCCAAACGTATAAAACAACTTTACTTATGAAAACTCATCCATAAAAAATGATATATAATTTAAATATTAGGTAGGTAGTGAAAATTAAACACCAATCGTATTGTATATATTGTCCAATAGTATGATCCAGTTGGAGTAATTTTTTTATAAGATAGGGTGACAAGAGCACACAGTCTACCTGATGGTAAGTGGTTGCTGAGGCCCGTAGACATCTGCATCTATCCTCGATTACGAGTCAAAATGCGGATGCGTTGTCACCCGTGAGGACTTAGGTGGATTGCCTCGTTTCCAGTAAAAAGGGTATCTTCTACTTCTCGGGTACTTCTCGGTTCTCTACACTCACCATACGAAACACAGCATATGGTATACACTTATGGTATTGTTACGCGCTAAAATCGGCACAATAGCGCCATCTAGTGTCAGGAACGAGAGCGAGGGGAGCGTTGCAGAAAATGACATCACAAATCTTTCGACCGACAGCGCCACCCGAAGAACTAAGTTTCTGGAAAATCTACACTCGAATACTCGTTGCCTGGCGCGCATTTACTTGAATGTTCGGGACGCTTCTTTGCTAATTATATAAATAGGCGCTGCAAGATGCGATCAGGGCAGAGTTGAACTCGGCGACACAAGCGAAGCTTTGGAGCGGAATTAAGTGAATTAGTGTGTTTAATTATTAGTGTTTTTAGTTTTAATTTGTGTAAAGTAAATTAAAGTGTTAATTTAGGTAATTTTATCGGCAATTTTTATTGTCACGAACCTCAAGCTCGTAACAATTGGTGTCAGAAGTGGGATAAAATCATGCCGATTTTACCTAAGGAGGAAACGGAGGGTGTCCGTACCCGAAATCAACGCCAGCAGGAGACGGACCAAAGAAGATTTGGTGGTGCAACGCCGCAGACGTCGGAGGGCCAGCCGCCGGCTGCAGGCCCGTCAGTAGCTCCTACATCTGCAGCACCCGATTTAGGTGCTCTGATGGTGATGCTGCAGGAACAGGCTCGCCGACAGGAGGAACAGGCCCGTCGACAGGAGGAACAGGCCCGTTGGTTGAAAGAGCAGCAGGAGGAACAGGCCCGCCGACAGGAAGAGCAGATGCTCCTCGTGAAGGACATTCACGCTAACTTCGGGAAAGAGATTAGGGAGGTGAAGGATAGGGTTGCTCAACATGACAACCGCCTGTCGGAAGCTTAAACCCAAATCAAGGAAGCTAAAACCCAAATCGACCAAGTAAACAATCGGGTTGATTACGTGATGGCTGACGTGAAGAAAACGCTAGACGACCTCAAACTGGGGGATGGAACTACAGCTCCCGTAGTTTGCTACTACACCTTCGCTACGTGGGTTCAAGGTGCCACCATTCGACGGGACTTCTTCCTGGTCAGCCTACAAAATCCAGTTCGAGGCTGTTATGAAGGCGAATGGCTGGAATAAAAGTCAGGCCATGACTGCTCTCACACTAGGCCTGCGCGACCAGGCCTTAACAGTTCCGGAAGCTCTCGGTGAGGTGTGACTTATGAGCAACTCCTTGAGGCATTGGAGGCGAGATATGGCGACGCTCACCTGGAACACGTCTTTCGTGCGCAGCTTAAAGATCGTGTGCAGCGCATCAACGAAAACCTGCAGCAGTGGGCTCTAGAGGTGGAGAAGCTGGTGCGAAAAGCATACCGGTCTGTACCTGCGCTCATTGAAGGGAACCTGGTGCAGACATTCATCGACGGCATCCGCGACCTGGAAGTCAGAGCTGCTGTGAGGCTCGGGCACCACGAGACGCTTAAGGACGCCTTGGCCCATGCACTGGAGGTAGAAGCCGTGCGGCAGGATCATCGTTCCCATCGCGTCAGCGAGGTTGCAGCAGTTACAGTTCGCGACCGCAACAGAGGATACAGCCCTAGGTGCTCTGGCTGTGGGGAAAAGGGCCATCTTCGATCCAGCTGCCCTAAGCGAACCCTAAAAAGGGAAAGTGAACGATATCAGGAGGGTAGTGCAGCTAACGGCACTGCCTGGCGGCGACAGGATCGTCGTTCACCTCACGCTAGGGTGGTTGCAGAAGTTACGGTTCGCGACCACAATAGAAGATACAGCCCTAGGTGCTATGGCTGTGGGGAAAGTGGCCATCTTCGGTCCAGCTGCCCGAAGCACACCCTAGGAAGGGAAGGTGAACGGTCTCAGAAAGGAAGTGCGGCTAACAGCACCGCCCAGCAGCAGCAGGAATACGACTTTACTATCACACTGCAGCGGGAAATCTCACGGCAACACAGATGCATTGTCAAGAAGACCTTGTCCTGAAGATGGCAACCATTGTAGTAGGCAAGGTAAGGAAGTGGTATCCGTGAGGATGCTCAGAACAGACCACCTCAGCAACGGGTGGAAGGACAGCCTACGACATGCACAGCAGGAAGATCCGGACATCAAGCCGATTCTGGGATGGATGAAGGCCCGTGCTACCAAGCCTAAGTGGAAGGACGTCTCAGCGATGAGTTCAACCACGAAAAGCTATTGGGCCCAATGGGATAGCTTGCTGCTTCAGGATGGAGTCCTGTGCCGTAAATGGGACAATGGTCGAGGAGACAGCTGTCGTCTGCAAATGGTCGTCCCTAAAGCTAAAGTGCCGAATGTTCTACAACTGTGCCATAATGGTCGTTCAAGAGTCCATCTGGGAGTTAAACGAACTCTACTGAAGGTCCGAGAACAGTTTTACTGGGTCCATTATCGTGACGATGTCGAAGATCGGTGTCGTACATGTACAAGTTGTGCGGCTGTGAGGGGCCTCAGACATGGAGTAGAGGAGCATCGAAATTGTACAATGTTGGTGCACCACGGGATAGGACATCCCTTGACATTGTGGAGCCATTACAGAAAGGCGCAAGAGGGACTCCTAAGATCGTCCATGTGGATCGCCTAGCGCGTTATTATGGGACCGATAATGCTCGGGACGAGCATGTCTTAGGAGGGGGCAGTGTTACGCGCTAAAATCGGCACACTAGCGCCATCTAGTGTCAGGAACGAGAGCGAGGGGAGCGTTGCAGAAAATGACATCACAAATCTTTCGACCGACAGCGCCACCCGAAGAACTAAGTTTCTGGAAAATCTACACTCGAATACTCGTTGCCTGGCGCGCATTTACTTGAATGTTCGGGACGCTTCTTTGCTAATTATATAAATAGGCGCTGCAAGATGCGATCAGGGCAGAGTTGAACTCGGCGACACAAGCGAAGATTTGGAGCGGAATTAAGTGAATTAGTGTGTTTAATTATTAGTGTTTTTAGTTTTAATTTGTGTAAAGTAAATTAAAGTGTTAATTTAGGTAATTTTATCGGCAATTTTTATTGTCACGAACCTCAAGCTCGTAACAGTATTATTACCAGCTTAAGTCTCTAGTCCGCGCTGGTGACCGGAGCGGCTGTCTGTCCAGTACGGTTGCTAGCCACGTAGTGACGACTATCTTTTTTTTCTGAAAGTGTCTGCTGTTGGCCATGCGGCTTTTATAGCTTCATCGAAAGAGACTCGTAAGCGGGGAGCTACGAGCTATCGAGCGCAACGATTCTGTCGGCGTCGCGAGTCTTTATGAATTTTTTTTATTTGTTTAAAAAAAAACCAACAGCGATTTAAAAATTTTAAGGACTTAAAGTATACAGTTAAATGTAAGGCCTATTAAAGGTTTTTTCAGTTATATAAACAAAATATATTATGGACGGTACAATTTAACTATTCTTTGGATTTATTATAATATGTATGTACTAATCCAATTATATATATATATATATATATATATATATATATATATATATATATATATATATATATATATATATATATATATATATATATGTTAACAGATATGTAACTAAATGTTTATACTAATTACACTTTTGTATATGTGTATGCAGAAGTAATATTTGTTTTATTTATTTCTCTGCAAAACTTTTACATGCAGCCAGTGCAGAACATTCTTTTATGTAATTTAATTTAATGAAATATGAAATATCACACCTGTTTATTTATTTATTTTTCTAAACCGTTACACTTATGTCAGATTTACACTCAACAATCAAGTAAGAAATGATTATACTAAATGATGCAAAGTATGAATTCATTTTCATATTATAATAGAGTTGATTTATGTTCATTACTATTTATTTATTTTTGTGTAGGGAGTCCTACTAGATGGAGTAACGACCTGGTAAGACATATAGGAAGTCGACGGACGCATGCGGCTCAGAATCGTGCCTTGTGGCATTCTCTGGGGGAGGTCCACGTTCAGCAGTGGACTTATGAAGGGATGTAATGATGATCATCATGATTAAGCAAATCAAAATGATTTACTCGTTTTGCACCTCATTTAGAATTTTAAGAGCTTTAACTTTAAAGGCTGGTTTACTAAAAACAAAGAGATCTATATCACTAAATATCTCAATGTATGTCCTGAGCATTCGGTTTATATGCGCATTACGTGCATAATTGGTGCCAGCAAACGGCACATGCAATAAAGGGTGCGGCTGACGGCGGACACGACGCGACGGTACTTTGTATGTTACGCTCGCCACCAACTCAGGGCAGTCTACCTGTCCACGGACAATATCATACAAAAAACATACGCCCATTAATTTAAGTCTCTTTTCGAGTGTCAATAAATTATAAGATTGACAAGTATTTTCATAGGTTACAAGTGGTGATTTGAAAAAACGATAATTTAGATAATTGGTGAATTTTTCCTCGTCCTCGTCGTTCTATACGATTTTTATAAGTAGCGTATTGGGGAGACCAAATTGGACTGGCATATTCTAATATACTGCGAACATAAGCATTATACATAATTTTAAGGGTATTAATATCTTTAAAAGGCTTGCAAGTTCTCATCACAAATCCAAGATTTTTAAAAGCCTTGTTAACAATTTCGTCAACATGCTCTGATAAAAGCATTTTATTGTCAAAATGAACTCCTAAATCTCTAACAGTAGATGTTCTTTGTATTGGAATACCGTTAAAATTGTAGGAGAATGAAATAGGGTTTTTTTACGTGTGAAGCTAATACATTCGCATTTATCAATATTAATTGTTATGTTGTTAGCAGTATAATAAGCTGATAAAGCGGTTAAATCAGTTTGCATTTGATGACAGTACTGCTCAGTACGGATATTGTAAACATTTTTTTTTGTCATCGGCGTACATTAAATGTTGTGAAAACTTAAAGCAAGTAGTAATATCGTGAATATAAGCATTATACAGTAAAGGCCCCAGATGTGATCCTTGAGGAATGCCTGTTGGTATTTTGATAAAGTCCGATCTATATCCAACTATTACAACAGCCTGGGATCTGTTACTCAAATAGGATTTTATCCACCTGAGTAAATCTCCATGTATGCCTAACAATTGTAGTTTATTCAGTAAAATGACATGGTCCCCACGGTCGAAAGCTTTTTCGAAGTCCGTGTAGACTACGTCTACCTGACCGCCTCCATCCATATTAGACAAAACATAGTTAGAAAAGCACGCCAGATTAGTGATAGTAGAACGATACCTTAGAAATCCGTGTTGAGTTTTTGGCAGTCCCTTACATATTACGGGATATATAACATCATAAATGGTTTTCTAAAAACTTTGCCAATAGTATTTAAAATTGAAATGCCCCTATAATTTTCAATTTTAGTTTTAGTTCCCTTTTTATGTACAGGAACAATGTGTGCTCTTTTCCATATATCCGGAAATACACCTTCGCTAAGAGACATATTAAAAATGATAGCGATAGGGACACACAAAGTTGTTTGTTTTAGCACTTTTAGATATTGATTTTAAAGTTAGCAGGTTGCCCTTTGAAACTTAATCGTAATATTAAACCTTCGTCAAACATCATAATTATCATTACATCTCCTTATAGTCCCATGCTGAACATAAACCTTCCCCCGGGCGCTCACATGTCTTGAGCCACCTGCATCCATCGACTTTCTGCAAGTCTTACCAGGTCATCACTCCATCTAGGGAGAGAGGATGCCCTACCCTTCGGTCATCAGTACAAGGCTGCCACTCTAGAACCTTTCTTCCCCATCGGTTACATATTTTCCAAGCAATATTGTCGATTACCACTTCAGTTTCCATATCCGTTTCAAATCCGTAGAGTTATGTAACCTACTTAGTGTATACTCTAGTTGCGGATATCTTCGTTACGGGTTCTAGCACAACGCTTTTGTTTGAATAAGGGTGACATTCGAACGCACAGTCCACCTAATGTAAGTGTACGCTGTGGCACATAAACATCTACATTTATCCTCGCTTAAGAATCAAAAAAGCAGATATATTGTCACCCCTGAGGACCAATATGGAATGCTACGTTTCCAGTAAAAATTATCTTAGGTTCTTTACACGCACCATACGAAACACAGAAGCATTAAGCTGCTATTTGCGCTGGTATTCAGACTTGGTTTTTCCTGGTCGAGCCGACCCATTTATGCTACAACCATAATATAGCTGCAGCGTGGCTCTACCACGTGTATCGGTCTTTAAAATATTCTACAAAGACAATAAGTTTCAATTGATCGCAAATCGGCTAACCTTACCAAGTTGGCTAACTTTAGTAAAACTAAAGTGACACTAAGAGGAGGTTGTGGATTTAAGTTAAATGTAGCTTTAGGTCTAGTCCAATCTAGCACCATAGGATTGCTTCTGTATGGGAGCAACCTCTGTTTTTCATTATATAAACTGTTAAGAAATAAAATCGTATTATGGTATATATCGTAATATGATATAAATTGACATAAATTGTTAATGATATTACTTTTTATTAGTAAGCTGTCCACTTGTGTTCTGCTTTTATTAGTAAGCTGAAGTGGCAATGGGCCGGTTTGTAGCTCTAAGAACCGACAACCGAAGGGGAAGAAAGGTTCTCGAGTGGCAGCCTCGTACCAGTAGATGAAGTATACGGCGGCCTTGTAAGATATGCAGGAAGTCGATGGATGCAGGTGGCTCAGGACCGTGCTTTGTGGCCTATTGTAGGCCTATGTTGAGCAGTGAACTTGTGAAGGGCTGTAATGAATGAATAATATTACTTTCTATTGTCTATGCCTCCATCTGTTTTAAGACACTACTCTAAACGTTTGTAAATTACCGGTAAAGTTTTTGTTATTTATATATTTTGTTTGCTCGAAACAGGCCATAGTATCTATCCCCAATCGAAACCAAGAAGACAGCTGCCCAACAGTTCTCTATTATGCAGACATAATTTTTGATGTAATCCCCAAAAATTTTGGTGTAAACCCTTTTTACTTGGAACGAGGCTTTTCATCGTAGTCCTCAGGGGTAATAAAGCGCCTGCATTATGATTCTTAATCGAGGATAAATGTACAATGAGTCTATGGACCACAGCATTCACTTACTGTCAAATGGATGATTGACTGTGCTCTCACTTGTCTCCTATAAATCATCATAAAAGAAATGTAATCAATTGTAGAACTTACTTCGTCCACCTTAATGAGGTCCACTATCTCCACGATTTTCTTCTCCAGGCTCTTTATGTAAAGTCGCGCGTTGGTCACATTTATATCAAGGGATTTGCCTAGCAATTTCAGCAGCGGCAGCGAATCACAGTCTGAGGATCTAGAAAAGTTAAAGGGTAACGTATACCTTGCCAAAGTGTAGCTTGCCGTCAAAGGGAGCTAGAAGAGTGTAGTAGTTCCTAGTGTAGTGATGTTGGGAGTAGTGATTCAGTGATTAGTGGTGACGGGAATAGTGCACGCAATTGAGGGAAGGCGGATGCTCTTCAAACTAGGTAACACATCATTTTATATCATTAAGCATTTATGTGGGCAAATATATTTTACTAACTTTAACTGCATACGTGGTAGAGCCACGCTGCAGCTATATGATTGTAGCACAAATTAGTCGGCTTGACCGGGGAAGGACCACGATCTAATAGAATACCAGTGTAAAATAGCAGCTTAATACTGCTGTGTTTCGTATGGTAAGTGTAGAGATCAGGAGACCCTTTTTTTACTGGAAACCTGCCTCGTTCATTATAGTCCTCAGGGGTGACAAAGATTCCGCGTTTTGATTCTGTGACGACGCTGTCGTCGCGCCACAAGCGAAACACACCGAAGCCTAAATCGCGCTATCAAAGGTCCGAATCATAAACGGTATATATAGAACAGCTCCGAACTATCACATGGAGTGTTGGCCGCTCCCCGGGCAGAACACCTTGCTCGGCGGGAGATCTCCCCTTTTCCTTTCACGGCCACAATTCTTAGTCGAGGATAAAAATAGATGTCTATGGGCTACAGCATCCACTTATCATCGGGTGAACTGTGTGCTCGTTTGTCATTTATTCTATAAAAAAATTATATCCAGTATGTCCGTATTTCTTGCTGTGCACCAGCCAGCATGGGCAGATAAAAAAAGTAACCTAGTGGTTAGGATACGAACTTCAAAATGAACGGTTGTAGGTCAACAGTAGGGTAACAGGCATTCGACCTCGTGAATCGCTTTTAATAGATACCCAGATCGACGACAAACAGTAGCTTACGATATCCCCCATACAGGGAGGGATCTATTTCTAGCTTTGTATCGTTGCGGCATAATGAAGTCAAGAATTTAATCAAAGAATATTAAGCTAGTCTGAAAGTCTCTATACGTTTCTTTGTGTAAAAATTTGAGATTGGAAGTGCTTCATAAATTTTTCGAGGTCTTGATTCAATTTCTGCATAATAAAAACCTAAGAGTAGTCATATAATCTTGAAATCGCTCTGGAAAATCCACTGCAATATCACTAAAGAGGAAATAAGCCGGTAGTTTAGGGAAAAGCGCACACTTTAAAATCACACGTTACCACAGAATAAATAATAGTACTACGTAACGTTACGAAATTACTCGTTTAAAACTAATGAAATTAAAAACAATGACATGTTTCACCTACAATACCACGTGCTTGGCGGTGAAGGGAATATATGGAATCTATCAACACACAGTGTACGCGGCAGACCCTTTTCTGTTCCCTCTCAAAAATTAGATGAGGCCTGTTTTTTCAATAAAATTGAACCGACAAACTGAACTACAGTCCTGTTGATGGTAAGCGGCTACTGCAGATCATGTACACCTGTAACTAATTTAAAAAAAGAAGTCTACTGATGCATATGCTTCTCTGAGGGCTAAAATGCTATACTTCAGCCTGTAATCATACTGGCTCTTTACCCTTCAAACTGGAACACGTGCAATCACGTTATTTGGCGGCCGAAATAGTTACCTGGATGATACTCACCCAGACAGACTCCCGGGTAGAAAGCCCTACCACCAACTAGGGACATAATATAACTACTTACTGGGCCAAAGTCTTTACACCTCGCAGCAGAGTGGTCAGTGTTTCTTCGCTTCTACGGCACGCGGCTTCAACAGTATCGCTTTCCTTCCGACGCTGTTCCAGAGTACTACGCAGAGTTTCGATATTGTCCTGCTGCTTGTACAACTTGGCCTGGTGCTTGGCGTGTTCGTCATCTGATAGTAATCAGCTCTTTTATTTAAGCAGAAGTATATCTAATTTGGCACCGTGTAGTGGCGGTTTAAGTATATCCATGACAGAGGGAAAATAAAACAGAAGATCATCTTCCTGATAACAACACAAGCCTGCCTGCCAAGAATCTCCTTGATGAGGCTGTCTATTGGAGAGGTCTAAGTTCAGCACTTTACTTTTATAGGTTGTAATGGATACCTATCTAATTTTAGCAGATAACTACTAATGGTAATGTCCTCCAGTCTGAATTCCGGTTACGGCAGCCAGTCTTAGCTAGATAATCTGTATCTGTAAGTCTAAGAAAGCTATCCATCTGCGTAGGATAGGATCATAGTGTCCAAGTGTATGCGCAAGCACAGGTGCACTCTCTATTCACTCACTCTCATAGTGCGATGTAATGGTAATCCGACACGAGCGGAGAGAGATCAGGCGCAGCACCAACGGCTTTGCGTAGTTGAAACACCGATTCCTAATAACTTCCTGACTCCTGGCTGCTACTGAGAATTTTTTGACAGAAAAACCCAATAACTGGCCCGACCCGGACATCAAACTCGGGAAAATCGTGTTTACAACCACCAAATCAACGAGACAGTCGAGATGCTTTGTAGCATTTCTTGGGGGAGATGTATGTTCAACAACGGACTTGTAATACATACATAAACATACATAAACACGCCTGTCACCCAGAGGGGTAGGCAGAGACTACAGACTTCCATTTGGCACGATACTGACAGACCTGTCCCGCCTCCTTCACATATTATACCTTACGCATACATACTCGTCGGTTAAGGGTACTCCTAATTTGACCCGTTTTCAATGAATCGCTAATTTGGTCAAAAAATTTTCGCCTAGGACGTCCCTTTCCGACTCTGCCATTCACTTCCGCAAAATGAATTTTCTTTGTCACTCTTTCCTCACTCATTCTTTTCACATGACCAAACCACCAAAGCATTCCTTTCTTAATCCTGGTCACAACATCATCTTGCAAACCACACTCTTCTCTTATTACACAACACGTGTCCCCCGGGTGGTGCTAAATGAGCGACAAGCCGATAGCACAAACTCGGCTCCTAGCCGTGGTAGCGGCGTAAAATATACCACCCCATTTTTGGCACCGTGAGGAAACAAATAGAAGAAATGGCCCCGAGTTCCCGACTTGTAATACGAATCTTATTTAAACAGATTACTAATGTCCTCCATCCAGACCAACGTAGCACTCTCTTTACACAGATTACATAACCAGATAGGTAAATGCTTCGTCATCACGCGGCAATGCCCTAATTTTACCTAAATAATGAACATATTTATACCTACCTATAGCTGCCCTGAGTATCGCGACGTTGTCTGCAAGACTTTTCAACTCAGCATGTAGCTCGTTGACGTAATTAAACAGTGCGTAGTTTTCCTCCTCGCGTCGAATGAACTCTTGGGTCAGCCGTTCCACATCCTGCTCGCCCGTGTACTCCTAGTGTTCACACAATATATATGTAGCTCTTTATATGTGGTAAAATCATGCTGCAGCTATGTAATTACTGTTGCACGAATGGGTCTGCTCAACCGGGGAAAGACCACCCTCTCACAAAATACAAGCGTAAAATAGCAGTTTAATGCTGCTGTGTTTTGTATGGTGAGTGACCGGAAACCCTTTCTACTGGGAACGAAGCATTTTATCTTAGGTGGCAACTCATTTTTTGATTCTTAATCGAGTATACGTAGATGCCTATGGGCCACAGCATCCACTTACCCTCAGGTGAGCTGTATGCTCGTTTGTAAACCTGTTTTCTAAATTAAATTCTGATACTTCTGGGTTCCGAATACAGTTGGAAATTATGCACTTGGTATACAGTTGACATAGTAGCACAAGAGTACATATAAGTTAAGGTGTCACTCTCATATTTGTTTCGTATGCCAAGAGCAGTTTATATCCAGTTGTGTTTGTGTTTAGATTTTAAGATCTAGAGTCTTCGAAAAGAGCTACTGCCTCAGATACACAGCAATACCAACATATCGGACTAAAAATTTGAATTCTCCATCCATCCATTCATTTTAGCCTATAAAAATCTGCTGCTGAACATAAGACTTCTCCATAGATTACATCATAGGAGAGATTTTGACATAGTTGCCATGCTTGACAGGTGGATTCGCAACCAGCCACTTACGACACCCAATGAAAAATACTCGCGATGTAAAATACCTTGACTGGTGACAGAGAAGACATTCAGAGGTCCAAGGACAGGATAGGACACAAGTAGTCAGTATCAAGGAACATTGCGTGTGTCTCAAGGCAGTACGCTAGGCCCGACTCTTTTTCTCGCCTATATAAATGACTTAATATGTAAGTTGCAGTTAAGAGTGCTAACATCGTGATGTTTGCAGATGACATAGTACTTTTGTTTCACGGCACATCGTGGAGTAATGTTAGGAGTCTTGCCAACTAGTCTGTCTTGAGTGGGCTGTTGGGAATTGATGAAGATAAAATCCGTACCTTAATAGCGTCTAGTACATTGACGTAGTTGTTGTAAGCTCGTATATCCTGTTCCTGCTGTTCTAGCCGCTTCGCTTCTGCCTTGGCGTCGGCAGCTGTGAGCCGCACGGTACCTTTGGTGCGGAGAAACTCCTCCAACTTCATGCTATGGTCTAACTGCCTTTGAAGCTCTCTAACTTCCTGAAACGCAAACGAAAAGCAAAACGTAGCGCTGCGTTTATTTTCTATGACGCAAAAGCCAATCCGAAACCATGCTCAACTTATTGTAAGAACACACACTTATGTACTGGTTTAAGGAACATATGTGTGCATCCATAGACATGGTAGAGACACGCTGCAGCTATATCTAATCTATTCTGTGGCTATATTATGGTTGTAGCGCGAATGTGGGTCGATTCGACCGTGAAAGGACCATGCTGTCACAAAATGCCAGTGTAAAACAACAGAGGCTCGGAGACCCTTTTTATTGGAAACGAGGCATTCTATTTTAGCCCTTAGGAATTTTGATTCGTACTTGGAAACAGATGACAGATCAGGTGGAATATGTGCTCGCTTACCACCTCCGTGTAACTTTCTTTGTTGGTCTAAGACAACAAGAAATATTGTATAAGAACGTGTTATACTATTTCGATGAAATTTACAATCTAATAAGGGTTTACGGGAATGAAAATTCAATCGTCTGATTTCTGAGAAATTTCGTTTTCTCTGTATTTTCACCAAATAACAAATATGACTTACCTGCGTAAGTAGTATCATTGGATATTTTACTACAGCGGTCACCTTGGGTTTTTCCGTTTATACATCCTAAAGAATTCACTCTAGGGTGAATATTCAGAATTAAACGCGGTGGATAATCGGAATTCGTATAATATATTATTTTTCTTCCGATTTTCTCCCTCGACTGTGTACAGTCATTTATAGAAACATGATAAAAACTTACTTAGTAGGCATTACCTATAAAAATATATACATACTTCTTGTTTGAAAGGTCAACGCTGAAATAAAAGGAGTAACCTCACAAGATTACAGATTAATTGGAATCTTGGCATGAAATTATTTAAAATGAAGTTAAAGACAAACTTGCAATCGTAACGTTTTTGGAATGCTTGCATAAAAAGGCTCAGTTCATCGTTAACACATCTGTGGTACCTAGTAAATAAATTAAATCAACGATTGCAAATGTCATTATAAGTGACGAAATTATCTAGGATATCAAATTGCGACTTGCGTCTACTCAATAATGCAATTAGTGTTGGTAGTTGCCTGGACATATTGCAAAATTTATAAATTACGCAATAATATTATTTAAAACGAGGAAGTATAGTTTGATTTAATTACAATACGTAATGCGTGGACTTTAGTAAACTGTAACAGTAATGGTAACGGCAATACGTAACAAGTATTGAATAAGGTTTGTGGTTATTAAAAATAAATTAATAATTAAAATGTACTTATGTGTTGAACTGTGCATTGGGTAAAAAGTCGGAAAAACAAATAAAAGTAAATCCCGAATATCTATTCCGTCTGAGGTGGATAGATGGACACACTTTTCCGAGTATCCACCCTAGGGTAGATTCTTTAGGGTGGATAAACAGAACAACCCGTCATTTACACAATGGCACAGAATAAATAATAGATAATGGTCTAAGGCTAGAATGTAGGTACATGTTGTATTGTGCGAGTTTAAATTTTGATTCTAATCTATTTATTATATGTTTTGAATAAATAAAATAATAAAATCACATCCATTTTATATGTCTTCTCGCAAACGGCTCTACTCGTAACAATTTAAATGTTTTGTACTTGATAATGTTTACTTTACACGGCTTTCTACGAGTAGATATCGTAGACAGTGTATCACTGAGAAAATTATATTTTTCTATTGGCGAACATCCGCTGTATATTTAAAAGTTAAAATTTCAGCCTATATACGACCCACTGCTAGACACAGGCCTCCCCCGATTTCTGAGAGTTTTAGGGCAAGGAAGTGTCCGCCGCGCTGCCCCAATGCGTGTTGGCGAACTTCAAATTTCTTCGAATATGTTTTTCTTAATTCTCAGACATGCAGGTTTTTTCACTGTTTTCCTTCACCGCCGAGCACGTGGTAATTTTTTAAATATTTTTTTTAATAATCAGCAAATATAGTTTGCTGATTATTAAAAGAATTGCCCGCTGGGTTTCTCGCTGGTTCTTACTTGGACAGAGGTTTTTTTCTGAACCAGTGGTAAAGCTTAAATAAATGACTTTCAATAAGTGTTCTTGTATATTGAATTTAAAAAAAATCTATTTGCATTAATTGCTGCCTTAGTTGTCCGGCTGGGATTGGCAACCGCTGTTTTAATTCCTTTGTATTGATAAAAGATCTTCCCACACATTTCCCACTCACCTCTACCATGATAAGTAGAGTCTTACTCCCTTGACAAGTCTACTTTTACATAAGAGCCTATAAAAGTCTACTGCTGAACATCCCACTCCGATTCGCCTCAAAGGGGATATTGCCATAGTTCCTACGCTTGGCGGGTAGATTGGCAACCGCAACTTTTTATGGTTTTGAGATGTTATCAGAAATATGCTGCTACCCATCCGTGTGGTGGCGGTGTCAGAATATCCACTACCCCATATCCTCGGGTGGGTGTCGTAAGAGGCGAAAGAGGGAAAATTAAATAGACGCATCGTCCAAACGATTCGTCTTATTTTACTAGCCGTTTTGAAGTAAATTAATGCTTGAAAACCCCTTGTTCAAATCAAAATACCAGTTCGACTATTTATGAACCGTTTAAAGTGTTTTCATTTTAAGTTATCATAACTTGCTTAACGTATAGTTTGTAACATAAAATGTTTAACATGCAACTCGTATGTAATAAAACGGATCCTCGCGGAACGAAAAGTTTCTTAAATATAGGAAAAGGGCATATAACACTCACGAGACAATGTTTCCTATAATCTATGGCTGCTTTTTCCCTGAGCGCGTCGAGCTTGGCACACCATTCCTCGCGCTGCTCGTAGGTGCCTATGGCCTGTTCCACCAGCTCTAGTATTTGCGCCTTACCTTCCATCAGTCGCTTTATCTGGTTCCTCCAGGTCATGTTAAAGAATTGCCTGGAAATAATTATGGATATTTTTTTATAGAATAAGAGTGACAAACGGGCACACAGTCCACTCGATAGGTGGATGGTCCATAGACATCTACATTTAACGTCGATTAAGAATCAAATTTTTTTTATAGGCTAGGGTGACAAACGAGCACACAGTCCACCGGATGTTAAGTGGTTGCTGCGGCACATAAACATCTACATCTATCCTCGATTACAAATCAAAATGCAGATGCGTTGTCACCCGTGAGGACTAAGATGGAATGCCTCGTTTCCAGTAAAAAGGGGTCTCCGATTCTCTACACTCACCATATGAAACACAACAGCATTAAAGTGCTATTTCACGCTGGTATTCTGTGAGAGCGTGGTCCTTCCCCGGTCGAGCCGACACATCCGTGCTACAACCATAATATAACTGCAGCGTGGCTCTACCACGTAATAAAATATCATCGTCTATCGATATTACTGAAGTAGCTTGGCGTAGTATTTGTAAATAAGTGACAATGGGCTAATAGCATTTGTCGCAGAAGTGACTGATAATCATGGAATCATTGACCGAACCCACCCCCTCTCTGTCCAGATACTATGACCGTCTGCGCAAGGCGACTGGAGGCACAACGTATTAGAGTTACACTGCAGCTGTATTATGGATTGGATATGGATAGGTCAGCTTGATTGGGGAAGTTTGTTGCTCTTTCAGAACCATTTACCTTTGCAACCTATGGAAAGTCCACTGCTGAACATAGGCCTCCCCATAGATTGTCTCATAGTTGGCGATATTTGCCGTAGTTGCCACGCTTGGCAAGCGGGTTGGCAACCGCTGTTTTTATTTTTATTCACCTGTTATTAGGAAGATACTGCTGCTCCTGGTTCTATTTCCCTCTGTCGCATCTTACGATAGCCACGGGATGAATGGGGTAGTGCGTATTCTTATACCGACACTCACGATTCTTATAGAACACCAGCGTGAAATACCAGTCTAATGCTGCTGTGTTTCCTATGGTTGCGTGTGCCTTGTGGGTTTAGTGGCCATAGTTACGACATGTGATCCCGGATTTGAAATCCCAGGTCGGAACAATATCAGTTGTCGTGATTATCTGTTAAAAAATTCTCAATAAAAGCCCAGAGTAGAGATTTTAAAGTTGATTAACCCCCGTGTCTCGGTCGATCCTGCGCCTTATCACTCTCCGGTCCTGTCAGATCGCCGTCTATGAGAGTGAGGGAATAGAAAATGCGCTTGTGCTTGCTCAAATACTCGTGCATTTTAACCATATCTCGCGGAGGTGTCTAGGTTCAACGGAAGTTGAGACTGGCTTTGTGTCCTCCAGACCAAATTTCAGTCATAGCGGCCAGCCTAAATGGAGACTAGCCATCGGCGCAGGACAGGGTTATACTGCTCAAATGTATGCGCAAGCACAGGTGCACTCTATGTTCCCTCACTCTCATAATTCGATGGGACATTAAACCGACACGACCGAAGAGAAGATCAGGCGCAGGACCAACGGCTTTACGTGCTTTCCGAGGCACGGGGGTGAGACACCGCCATCTTTCTGACTCCGGGCCCGACCCGGGATTCGAACCCAGGACCTCATGATCAGCAGTTGCACTACTACAACCACTAGACCAACGAGCCATGCAGCAGTTATATTAGTAATATAGTTGTAGCGCGAATGGGTCGGCTCGAACGGGGAGGGACAACATTCTCACAGAATACCAGCGTCAACTTATGCTCGTGTTCTTGTGAGTTAAGAACAAACAACACCCGTCTGTGGCACTTCATGCATATTATGCATTGTTCATTTAAAAAAGTTAGACTTTTAATGTTGGTGAACAATACCCAGGACAATGTTCATCTTACCGGTCGCGCAGTAAACAGTCGATCTCAAGTCTCATCTTATAGTTTTCGCTGTTGACCGTGTTGAACTTCTTCATGGCCGTATCGAGGCGGTTCTCCAGCTGAACTACCATGCTCTGATTTGTTGCGTCCGCGTAGTACTTCGGGAACGAGTAGAACATAACCATTACCGTTAAAGTCCGTTAAAATTCCAGTGCTAAATATTGGTCTCTCACAAAAATAACTAGACTGAGCAAGAGGGTTGGCAACCGCAGTTTTTTTATTAAGGTTCGGAAGATGATGCTGCTCATCTCCTGGTTTGTTCCCCTCTGTCGCCTCATGACACGAGCACACCTTCAAATAGAACATGCAGCCAAATGTTTTCTTCCTTTTAAAAAACGTTACCTCCACACTAGGATTTTGTCCCGTATCGTTTCAATACATAAATTTCACAAGGACAAACATCCAGACCTGCAACAACTATTTGTAGACCGTACAAATACTTGTTCCGTGCGGGATTCGAACCCGCGACCCTAGCGCTGCAACTCATTGCTAAGCCACTGCGCCACGTAAGTTATATTATGACCATATTGTATTTTTGTTATATAGAGGGTTGTATTTATAAGGAATAGGCAGAACATTTGGTTTTCTAACACGCCGTGTAGTGGCGCCGTGACAAAATCTACTAACCACATATTTCGGAAGTATCAACTCAAATAGTAAACGCGATTATATACTTTGCTTCCAATCGTGGCATTACACAAATACGAGTCTTGAAATGATGATGATGATGATTGTCAATTCCTCCAATGGCGACCTCTTAAATAGTTTGAAATTTTAATGAATTTTTTGAATTCTTTAATTTAACCGTGCAACGTCACCTATAATATTTTCAACCTATTTACTTATTAATTTATACTGTAAAATTTAAAACGAGTCGTGCTAGCTTATGGGCTAAGCGCTAGTCAGAGTTCGATCCCTGCCAGTACCAGTTTTTTTGTGTTTATTAAATGTAATTAAAGTTAGTTAAATAATAAACAAAAAATGTAATTCTAGCTATAGAAGAGCGGGACTTCCTGCCACAAGTATATATTTACTTAAAAGGATGTCTCACTTATTCCCATACCTATGTAATGTGCGATATTTTTAAAGAAATAAACAATTTTTATTTTTTTTAAGTACCATGAATGTTTTTTATAAGATGAGCACACAGTCCACCTGATATTAAGAGGTTGCTGTGGCCAATAGACATCTAGGTATATCTTTCGTCGACTATGCATCAAAATGCAGATGCGTTCTCACCCGTGAGGACGACATGTAATGCCTCGTTTCCAGTAAAAGGGCCTCCGGTTCTCTACACTCACCATACGAAACACAGTAGCTGTTATTTGACGCTGGTATTCTGTGAGAGCGTGGTCCTTCCCCGGTCGAGCCGACCCATTCGTCGCTACAACTATACTACTAGTATAGCTACAGCATGGCTCTACCACTGTGTACCCCTGGTTAATTATTATTCTGTACATATTTATTACGTGCCCGGCGGTGAAGGAAAATAAGGTTAGAAAACCTCCAAGTTGGAGGAATAAAACATTTAGAGGACATGTGAAGTCAAAACAGACGGCGAACTAGTTACTTCATAACCCCCTCAGATATGAGAGGAGGTCTCTGCCCAGCAGAGGGAATTATTTCGGTTGTAACTTTAATTTTACTATACTCAAAATTTTAAGGATCATTTAAAGTTATTTTTCATAAAAATAATTGATGATGAAAACTGATTATATCAATTTGTGAAATTAAAATAATAAAAGTGTTTATAAAAATTAAAATAACCAGTAAATTCAAATTAAATGCTAAATTAAATACAAATTCAATGTATTCTAATATGTTTATAAAGCAATCAAAATGCTATTACTTATAAATGTTATTTGATTTTGCATCTCAAGTGCATTTAATGAGGGATACATATAAAGTATACTCTATATATAATTATAATTATACTATATATATAATTTATATACTTTAAATTACCTTTTCAAGTCCTGTGCCACTCGATTTTAAAGACTTAATTTCTTTTTGAACTTGCTTCAGGAGGAAGTCGAGTTCTCTGATAGTGCTACGATGATCTCGCACCTCCGCAGAATATTTTTCGTGTTCTTTGAGCAACGTGATCAATTTTTCTCTTGTTCTAGCATTTTCCAGAACGTTTGAAGTGCTATTTGTCAGCTGTGGAAAGTAACATACGGGGTTATTTTGCAATATACGGCCAAAATTGCAGAGAAGGTTCCGATTACGTAATATAGGCGAATGGCGAAATAAAAATAACAAAAAAATCTCAAACATTCTGTCCTTTTTATTATTTTAATTCAGAATTCGTGGTAATGCATTAATTTAAATGTTTGTCTTTCATAAATATCTAACATCTACTATTTAACTACGCAATACGCATGCACATCGTAAAGGTTAAATTAAATTCGCACGTCTTCCCGCACCCTTCCCTAGCTAGCGTGTTGACCGTGAACTCATTTCTTACAAAGTGCTATTTTTAAATTTTTGTAGTGTCGTTTCGTTACCAATCAAGGAACGAAAATATTCGAACCGCAATTACAATGAAACTACGAAATGGTGCGGTGTTATATTTTTAAGCAATGGAAGTTTACGTGGTGCGCAAAGATTATACGAAAGTGAGTCTTTACCGCGGCTAGAAATTAGCGTACGTGTAGTTAACAATCTGAGAACAATTGACAGCTAATCAAACTATTCAAGTGCAGTGAGAGACAACTTAAATAGCGCACGGAGACCCTATACTATGGCCTGCAAACTAGCCGAACCTTTCACAGTTAGGCTTTTATCTGTTGGGTGAAATAAAGAGTCTCGTTTACGTCAAAGAGGTCCAAACTCATAAAGCAAAATTATTGTTGCATTCACAGTAGTAGTAGTTAACGGGTAATAAGTGTTAAAAAATAATTTAAGAAAATGCGCTTGTTTATGTATGGAGAGAAACGTAGTTCATTTTGACTTACTAATATTAGTTAATGGGGCTAATTGCGTAATTTAGTTTATTCCATTTTTTAAGTACACCGTAATAATGTCAGTCATCGGTGATAAGCAAATATATTTTTTAAAATTTAATTATTATTACGATCCTAAATCCGCAGTGTAAGGGGAAAATTGGCATCATAATTCGTGTCGTGTAGTTTGGTAATGAGCGTGTCACTAAGAGGGTTTATATTAATGTCAGTTCTTTCACTGGAACTTTATTTTCCCCCCTGGAACAAACTGCCTGTTGATCTGCGAATAATACCTACCAAAAATATTTTTCAAAGAAAACTATACGAACATATCTACACAGCCTATCTATATAAACGTGTATTTATATATATATATATATATATATATATATATATATATATATATATATATATATATATATATATATATATTTTATGTATGTGTTGCATTTGTGTATGTATTTTATTTGAATTGAATTTGATCATGACAACTTAACTGTCTATAACTCACTCTCTGTTCTATCCAAGGTTAGCTGGTAGAGAATGCCATGAGAAAATAAAATAAATAAATAAAGGAGTAAACAGTAGACAAAAACTTTGTGAATTGAATCGCAGACACAGGTGCGCCACGTTGTACACGTAGTTGTTGCTCATATATTATCACATTTAATTTCGGATAATTTCAAATAAATGTAGAAGCTATATTTACTCGTATGTCCAATAACGGTATATCATTATTTATTTATTTGAACTTAGCGTAAAATTTGGCTAGATACTAGTTCCGCCAGTGAGTATAATATGTGAAAGTGGCACCATCGCGATTTTTTAAATAGTCATTAAAGAGTAACCCATTACCATTTATTTTTCAATTTCACAAAAACACTCCAAGTTTTCAGGTTAAAATTGTGTGGTGACCTGTAACTCAGGTTTTTAGTATAAAACCTATCATAAGCATCAGTCTCTCACGACGTTAGGTCCTAACTACATTGTTATTGTAAACTAGGTAGCTAGTAAGAAGTTGTAAAGAGATGAATAAATAAATAAATAATGAAAATAATAATAATAATAATTAATATAATAATTAAATATAATCTAGATCAATCCTGGCATAGCTTTCCATCCGTTTGTAAACTTTCATCACAATCGGTTCAGCCATTCTAAAGATTAGCCTGCATAGACAGAAAGACAGGCAGACAGACAAAAGCTTAAATTTTTTTATTCTTGTTTTAATGTTATTGTATGAAAAAGACTCACTGAGTTCGACAAAAGACTGTGATTTCGACTTACAGACAGATACTTCCATTTTATGTATAATGTGTGATTTTATTACCGTCTGAAAAATAAGGGTGTAACAGGTGAACGGAATAGAAGCCCGTGGTGAAATTGATCTATCAATAAACACTACTGATTGGGTGCGTAATATTTTAATTTCTATAGTTTTTAATTCATTTATTTGTTTAGTTCAAAATATTTGTTTTTATTTTCTTATTACCGAAAATTTATTTCAAATTAATGGTATTTAATATTTATTGATAGTAAAATTTCATAATATGTTAATGTAAAAGCAAAAAATTTGTAAAACATCAGGCTCTTATTCCGTTTACCTGTTACACTATTTTTTCCAGACTGTAAAAAAAACATTCAGTATATACACAGATGACAATTTGAAAATTAAATTTAGATGCAATTCGGTATTTTGTTTATAAAAAAACTACGAAATCGATTTTAGTGATAGCATAATCAGGTATTCATTATAAAATTAAGCTGTAAATGTAAAGCAAATTATTTCGAAATTATCAAAAAAGTTTAACAATAAGAGTTATTTTTAACTAGCTATCCGATTCGGCTTGGCCCGGGTTGGATCTATTAATGTGAAGTCATTTAAAATAATTATTTTAGTTATAATAATGAAGGACATGCATGCAAACACAGAGATCAATATTTACAAGACAAATCAATAATATAATGTAAAAGTAATGAGACTGCCTCGTTGGTCTAGTGGTTGTAGTAGTGAGACTACTTATGAGGTCCTGGGTTCGAATCCCGGGTCGGGCCAAAAAATCAATTATTGACTTTTTCTGTCAAGAAATTCTCTGTAGCTGCCCGGAGTCGGAAAGATGGCGGTGCCTCACCCCCGTGCCTCGGAAAGCACGTAAAGCCGTTGGTCCTGCGCCTGATCTCTCTAGTAGGAATAGAGAGTGCACTTGTGCTTGCGCATACGCTTGGGCACTATAATCCTGTCCTGCGCTGATCCTATCCTCCGTTGAGGCAAGCCGCCGTGGCCGAAATTCGGTTTGGAGGACACTTATTATTATTACTATTATAATATAAAAAATAAACATGTTGCAATATGTACACGCAATATTTCCAAAAGTCTATCGTCACGTCTATAATTAATTAAAAATGATTATTCGTATTTAAGTGTCATACAAATAAGTCCGTGAGCTCAATTAAATGCAGTTATTTTAATTTTACAAGCAGACATTTCAATTTCATATATTATAGATGTGTAAAGATTTTAATTCTTACGTTAAATTAATGCTTGAACAATAATTATACCTAGTAAGGAATTCCGAAGTTTGCTTCCACTTGTAATGCATATTTATATCAAAATACGAAACAAAAAATGGAGGTGCTCTTCAAACTAGGTAAACAAACACATTTTAATTTTCCACGCGGATCTTAATTAATTTTTATATTTTAATACAATGATTTCCACAAAGCAACGCCTGATTCTATTGAAATTCTTCATATTTAAAGTAGGCACCTACGTATTTAGGAATAGAAATTCATTAAATTGTTAGCACGAAGATATTGAAGATAGGCCAAATTAAGTGTACTTTTAACCTTAATCGTCGAGCATGTACGCGTTGGTATATGGACGTAAAGGAGGCGAGAGAGGAGTGTTAGGATCGTGCCAAGTGGAAGTCCGTACTCTCTGCCTACCGCCCTAGAGGGCGAGTGTGAGTATGTATGTCTGTATATATTGTTATGGGATATATTAATAGAATTAAAGAAATTAAGTATTTTTAGCTGACTACATTTTTTTAAAAAGAGAAAGATCATAATTACAGTGTACCTATTGTTGCGCGCCATAATTAATGCCTGGTATTTGGCGAGTGGTAACTCGCGCCATCTAGTATCGAGTAGCAGAACTAGGAGAGCTTTCTAAAAAAATCCATACTAGAACTTTCTACGCCTAGTCAGTTGGGACCGGTATATACTCGAACATTCTAGATGTTTCAGTAGAAGAGGCCCTCTATAAGGCCGGTAAGGAGGTAGATTTTGTTTTCGTCCCATCATCAAAGGTATCCTTAGTATAGTAGTCTGTCTTCCTTTTCGGGAGAGTTTCAAAAACACCCGGTATAAGGACAGTAAGAACTGCAACCGCGTCAGTATTGAATTGGCAATTCAAGCGAATACTTCGGAGCGATATAAATGCGACCTAATGTGATTAGATATTATTTTTATTTAGATATTATTAGTGTGTTTTAAGTTGTGATTCGTGTTCGGTAAATAGTGTCAATTTTGGTAATTCAGTAGTCAGTTTTTCTGTCATGAACCCCAAGCTCGTAACACTATGTTCTTGTTTTGTATGTACATATACTCCTATGGTAAACAATCCGTTACCGTTAGAACTTATTAAAGTCCACTGCTGAACGTTCAGCAGTAGAGTAAAGGCTGTAATGGTACAGGAACTTAATCTCACCTTAAGCTCCAACATGATTTTATCAAGTTCGTCGCTCAGTGAACGGATGATGTTCCTCTGCATCCTCAGCGTTGGTTGCACGCTGCTCATCACTGTCGCACGGTCAATCTCCATCACCCGAAACTGCAATATGTTTAATGTATTATATTTTTTGGCGTCCTTATAGATTGATATGCAGAGAATCCAATTAAATTTTGGCCGTTAAAGGAAAAGAGGAGATCTCCTACCGGGCAAGGTGTTCAGCAGAGGAGTGGTTTTATAGAAAAGGCACATAGTCCAACTGATGGTAAGTGGATGCTGTCGACCATAGACCTACAGGGGTATTTGCCATAGTTGTATACGTGGGGAGGTAGTTAAATAGAATTAATTTACAATCACAAAATACACGGATCATAGGTAACCAACTATAAATTGTACCAAGACTTATTTAATAGCTGATAATAATAATTAATTCGTTTCTACGAATTAATTATCCGAATAGTCCAGGATGAGCTGGTAGCGGGATACAACAAGTGAACCGTGCCACGCCAGAGCCATGGCCATGACTGTCTTAACGGCGGCCGCTCAGTCCGTTTTATACAATCGAGACAAGTAGCTACACGAGCGCCACCGCAGATGCAATGCGCAGGTGTACGGTGCACGTGTTGTTTACAATAATTCCGACTACAGGCGCTGCGACACGGCCATGCGTGCGTCCTAGCACGCGCTGCATCACAATCTTAGTTATCTGTAGACAGAAAAACATCGTTCGATTATCTTGACAAAAGTCATAAACTTTTACACATTCAACAATACGTTCTGGTACAGTCTATATTGAATTGTCTACATCGACCCTTCAGGCAATTAGTATTGGACCGGTTCTTTTGAACCCTGCAACACTAATCAGTTTTGGTCCGGCAACATGCCCTTCAAAATTCTCTTACTGTTTCTGCTAGTCCGGAATCACTATTCCCTGTAGCCATATCATTGGTCCGACATAAGCCCTTCAATGATAGCAAGCACCACATTTTTTCTTACTTATTTTCTCTTTTTTTTCCCTCAATATTTTTTTCGACTTATTTTTTTCGATTAAGTTTGATAGAACCATTTTTTTTCACTTTTCCTCTCTTTTTCTATTTTTTTTTCTCTGCAGGAGCAATATAGCCCGACCAAACCACAATCATTCCCCATCACAATCACACAGTAGTGTAACGTGAGGGACGCAATAACACAATAATAACAAAGTATAAAAACCAACAGCAACACCACAAATATTCTTCTGCATTAGAAGAACCACTACAACGGCGGAACCACTATTCTTTCATTCCACGAGTCCCAGCACTCGTTGAATGACCTTGTCGGAATCTCTTGCGCACGACACCCACAGTGAACTCCACACTGCAGAAAATATTGGGCTCCCGATATAACCTCAATTCTATGACACCACCATGAATATGACCATTCCTCCAGAATGATGCAACCTCTATACTTTGCAGACGCGCTGGCACGGCCGCCTCCGACTATCGCACGTCCTCGTGCGGGTGGCAGTAAATATTTGATCTATATCAGTTATCACCGCCTGCAAACAGATATTGACACTTGTTAAATATTACAACGCTCGACCATCACCGACTTCATTTAGGTCGTAAACAGCAGATTTATCCGGGCGCACAAGCCTCTTTCAATCGGTAACCGTTGTAGCGACTTCTAACAATTCCTCGATAGCAAATCCCAATCTTGTCGACTACACAATATTCGGAGTAAGCTGCTACGCTTATCAACAGAATACAAAAGGCCACTGATTATTTTCAACTCTTAGCACGTGAAGGTTAATCCTTAATTTTGACACATCACTTAAAGATTTCCGATTTCAATACGTAGCCCATGTAAATCCTATTTTGCATGAACTATCAAATTATAACAAATCTCGAATAAGTTAATTTTGCACTGAACGTAAACTATAACTCTTCTAGAATGCTCCAGACGTTTCTTTCGACATTTGACATATTTAGGTACGTTAAGAAATTATGAAAGTACTCGAGGGTACTTTTAACATAAATCAAACAAAATAATTTAAATTTTGTTACTAGGAATATTGGTGACGCTTTCAGTTAATAAACGAATTTTATTTTGAGTTATCTTTTGGAAGGTTAATTTGCTAGGAGTTTTGATAATCAAAATATCAGGTTTTTCTGTAAACGTGTGCCCCAAGTCGTAGTAGTAGTCCATAGGGGAATTATTCTAACAATTTCTTTTTCCACTTGGGCCATGTATACAATAGTGAAAGCAAACCTTGAAAAGAGGTTTTGGCAACGCCACTAAGTTTAGGTAATGAATAATGGATAATTTCTTTTTCATCCCAGCTATAAATTTCCGCGAACTCTTCTACTTTGTTTATCCAAGTTAAAATAGTTTGCTCTTTCGACAAAGGGTCAAATTCCGGTATGAAGTTAGTGTTGAAAGCAAGTTAAGGCCTATTCGAGCTCCTGAATTTACTTAAAATATCTAAAAACTTATCTAATATAATATTAGTACCTGGTTCCTTACTTATACTCCTTTGCCGCTGACGCCTAGTATGCTGTGAAGCGCCATCCTCCGAAGATGTCGAATAATCGCGCTTTCTTTTACTCTTCCATTTCCATCTATGGTGAGTTAACCGTTTACCCTTTTTCTTTCTTCCATCATTTCCATCTTCACTACCAGACTGACTAGTCTGATACCATGTTCGCACTCCCTTCCTTGGTAGTTCTTCCTTATCCTTGGAACGTACCTGTTCTATCCTCGAGCAGGGCGTTTTCCGTATCAATACCTGGCTGAAATTCCGTCCTTGCACCTCTATCCTGGGTGCTCCTTGATTAGATAGATGCGCCAGTCCTTCCCCTCGACTGGTCGCATCATCACTAATCTCATTCAACCCTTACCTCGGGTCATCCGTCCTTGCTCTTGTCCTTGAGCAAACTATCCTGGGTGCTCCTTGATTAGATAGATGCGCCAGTGCTTCCCCTCGACTGGTCGCATCATCACTAATCTCATTCAACCCTTACCTCGGGTCATCCGTCCTTGCTCTTGTCCGATTTTCTGAAACTTCAGGTGTAAGCCTAGAATTTGTCCAGAGATTTTCTTTTAATGTACATAGCAAATTAATTCTGTAATTAGAACCTGACCTTCATTTTAAAAGTTGCACATTAAATAGTTAAGCTGTGTAGGTTATTTTAGTTTTAGTCATTATATTTATTATTGGTACAGATTCATCATACTGCAATAGTTATAACATTGACAAATTTATTTCGTTTTCATAATGTCGTGTATCATCAAACGAAACTGAGTTTCATTATCAGTATTACGTTTTTAATTTTCACGACTTATATGAAAAAAAGACGGTAGAATAACAAAAAAAAAACCACTTTCATTCATCAAACTTTAAAATCAACAATTACAGTTATACTTAGTAGGACAAATATGCGAAATATCAATTTATATACACGAAAAAATACTTACATTATTCGAGCGGTGCACGTGGCAAGATAATTAAATATGTATCTTGTTTATCCCACTTCTGATCTGTTGTACTATTTCAAGATCAGGTAGAAAATAAAAGGGTTGATTCCAACTATTACACTTTATTTCACTTTCTACAATACTATTACGAGTCCAGGTAGAAAACAAAACGGTAGATTCAAACTATTACACTTTGGTTCACTTTACAATTTAAACTTATACACAATTCAACTTAACTTCACGTCTTACTGCGACGACTCGAGTTGAGCTAATGCCACTCTCCATTTACTAATCAACCTTTCGCACTCGTTAGCAGGGTGGGGCGGCATCATTTCCGCCCCACTCTTTTACAGAAATCAAAACATTATTCTTCCTGTTAAATTATATTACTCTATTTATTATCCATAATCATTAATGTTAACAACTAATAGTAATTATAATATAAAGTTAAATCGAGTAATTCTGTTATAAACAATAATATAATAGTTATTAACCTAACAATAATAGTTATGCAATAATAATAACCTAACAAACATACATCGAGCATAAACGCGATAGAGTGTATGTTATTAATGTGTATAGATAGTATTTGTATGTTATGCAAAATAACATTAATATTATAATTAAACTTATAATTACTCTGTCGCCTGACAATTCCGTGATAAATAAAAAATGTAACTATGTAGATTATATAACATATTGACTACCGAGGGCGCCACGTATATCGTGGGAGAGGGGGGACGCTTTTGAAACCACATCGGGCGGAACTGGTCGACAATTTCACTCTCTTAGCTCACTAACATTCTGTTTTGTTAACGTTAATTAGGACGTCAAAGCACGAGTATTTTGTTGCTTACTCGTACAAGCCAGTAAGTTACTCTTCGGTAAAAGGACTGACTGGTCTCTTTCTTGATGCAATTGTTCAAGTGTTTGACTTAGATATGAATGACTGTCGAGGTCAAGGGTACAATAATGGTGCGAACATGGCAGGAAAATTAAAGGTGTTCAATCCATAATTTGACTCCATAATCTCGGGCATTTTTTAATCGATGCGGTTGAAGTTACTAGAGCTTAATTTGCTCATATTCGCGTAATAAAATAAAATGATGTGTCCTACTCAGCCTGAAGAGCACCTTCCAACCCCCCTCAATTGCATACACTATCCCCGTAGCCACCACTCCCAGTACCAGCACACCCACCAACATCAAACTATGGACGACACACCACTCAATAATACTGTTACGAGCTTGAGGTTCGTGACAATAAAAATTGCCGATAGAATTACCTAAATTAACACTTTAATTTTCTTTAGACCAATTAAAACTTAAAACACCAATAATTAATCACACTGATTCACTTTATTTCGTTCCGAAGCTTCGCTTGTCTCGCCAAATTCAATACTTCTTTGTAACGTCGTTCAGACGGCGGTAATCAACACAGAACCGCATGCTGCCATCCTTCTTCTTTACCAGCACCACGGGTGAACACCATGGACTAGATGGTCTTATGCATGATCTCAGATATCATGCGTCCACTATACACTTTTAATAAAAAATATGTAATGGAACTATCCTCCAGAGAAAACTAGCTGTATGGACAGGTTATATGTGAAGTCAGTATCTTTATATGGTACACCG